CCTTTATGTACTGCAACCTAGGTGCAGTTCTCACGGAGAGCTTAGGTACGAAAACTTAGTATACAAAGGAAGTGGATGAATCTGTCATTGATGTACAATAGTGAAGATTGCTATCACCTGAAGGAGGTTATGTTGGTTCCCTCTTGAGACTATCCCTCTCCACTCAGTTAACATCGGTCGGATTACCATGGCTGTTGTTTTGATGCTAGATCTTTGTCACGAGGTAACTGCTTAACTACTGACCAGTGCCCACTTAACTGGTAAAGCAGAACACGCGATAATCAGCGGTAAAACCAGAATAATTTATTACAACAAAAGTGACTGTATTGATACAAAAATAAAGTAGACTGGAAATCAACCAATTCGGTTGAGAGTTTGGAATTGTGCAAGCGTCCAATCAGAAAGCAGAAACAAATGCATGTCAACGACACGGTAATAACCTGACTGAGACATGATAATGACCTGATAATTGCATGTTTTGCCTCTTCCTAACAGCTGTTAGCTGTTAAATTGAGCTAAGAAAGAGATCAGCTGATATTTCTGATTATGCTAAAGCCGATCTCAAATACTAAGGAAACATCAAAGTGAAATTATAATGCGTCCAGTTACATTGCAGGGATGCGATAACCAGTGTCACCAACGTGTGTTAATTGGATATTGGGTGAAAGAAATGGCGGGTCAGTTCAATAGTAACCAGTCGTTTAGTTCAAGCACTCACCAATCAGCTAGCTAATAATATATTTATTTCACATAAATTAAGCATTTACATGATTCACATACCGTTTGTACAGGCATGATCATATTTGACAAGTGCAGGATGAAATTGAACACTTTTATGAAATTAAGATTTGGAAAATGAATAGAAAACTTTACAAGAATAGAATATAAGGTTTTGGTTTAAGTCTAAATTATAATATTTAATACACTCATATTGAGTCAGATTCATGCGGGAATTATGAAATTTTGCGTTAATCGAATGTAAGAAGAGAGGTGATGTACATGTGCTGGAGTAAGCCACACTGGATCCAGACCGTTATTTTTATCATTTTATCAATCAATAAGAGTTCGAAAGTTTATAAAAATCCACATTAGACGGTAAGTACAGCATTATATTGGTATTAGCAGATAGAAGGGACAAATTGGTCGCAAAGTTAACTTTGCGATGTTGAACAGAATTCAGAATGGAATTTGTTCCATTGTTCATCGTAAGTGCTAACAATATTCTGGATACCTCTCAAGTAATACAAATGTAGAAAGCAGGATTACTGTTCATTAGCAGTGCTTCAGTGCAATACCTTCGAGAAGTGAAGAAAACAGAAGCAGCCAGCAGATAATGATAATTTAAGTAAACAATATGCGATAACCGCAGTGTTTATTCTCCTTTTTAATTACTAGAAAATTTCTAGTCATTGAGTTTTATAGTCTACATACTAACGGTTAGTTTAAGTTTATAGTAGTAAACAACAACTGAAGTATAGAATAACAATAAAATATAAAGTAAAAATTAGGGCGAAACGAATTATGGTTTTCACTCTTATATAGGGTAATGTTGGGAATAGTAACTGAAGAAGTGAAATCCAAATGCCAAAGTACATAAGTTATTTAAAAGAAAAGAGGAAGTATATTAATACTGATTTATGCTGTTGTTCTGATTTATACAGTTAGATGTCCTCCTGAAGTAGAGAAATCGTACCATGAGCCATTTTTTCAAAGAGTTTGTACGCAAGCTGTGACATACAGGCAGCATTTATTTTTTATTTTATTTATTAACAATTTTTTTTGAAGTAATTCGTTCTCAGGAGCCTTAGCAGTATAGTGCATTCCCACAGATAAGGGTGGTTCTCTTAGGTCCCCACCATCATATCCGCTGAATAGCAGTCACCACCCACCCACCCTCCCAAGCTCATCATTTTGTGTGGGTTAAGAGGAATTCTCTGAACAAGCCGAACCTTAACCGTTTCACCCTTGACAGTCAGGTTGCTCATCTCTATAGAATGAAACACCAGGTGGGCAAGAGCTGAGCAGTTTCGCTGTGGTGCGACTGTGCACCCCTACGCCTCCTTGAAAAATTTTAGTTTAGGCTTAGAGGACTTCTTTGAGAAACTAGGAGGATTTTGTAACTTATACAAGAATATTATTCTATGTAACCATTACTTAACATTATATTACTTGTATACAGACCTTTATTTCTAATTGCGCACTTCTACTTCTTACGAATGTAGAAGTAGTTTCGTTTTGGGCTGCTATAGTTTTGAGTAACCCTGATACCGAAACCGCTGAAGAAACCGTAAGATCATTGTTCCATTGAACAAAGTGGAAGAGGTGATCATGGCACAAACCTTCAAACATGATGCTGTCCGGAATCCAAATGTCAGGAGCACAATGGCTGAACCCCAAAATGGCTCACTGTTGACGAAAATGTGTATTCGAACAAAAAATTTGCAGCAGTCTAATGAGCGACAAATTGTCTAGTTAACACGATGTGAAATGATAATAAAAGTGCAACTTTAGTGTGGGTAGGCGCATCTTGGAAGTAAAGAATAGGATAGTTGGTTACAAAGTGGTCATGAGCTTGATTTACTTTGGAAGACAACTTGTGTCAATCTAGTTGAAGATTGAACGATCAATTCACGGTTGTTTGCTCAAAACCAACTTCCCCAATTTTCGCGGAGGCATCAATACGACAGTCATCTTCTCATCGGTCGCTGTTCAGAAAGAAGAGTGAAACATCGTCAGAAGTAATACAATGATTTATTATTGTAATATTTGTTCACAGACCTTAGTGGTAATATTTTTTATATGTTGGTGTAACAATAAAGAATCCTCGAGTCACCAATTGGTGTTTTGGTTTTTTCGTCCGTTATTACTAAGCGTTTCTGAGAAACTTCAAGCGACAGCGTGAGCCCGAGCGTAGCAAGAGCTGGGCATTAACGGTTTTGCGAGATGTGGCTGACAGTTTCTGACGGTAGAAACAGATTCTGGCGGATTCAGACAGTTGGTGAAAGTTTGGATAGTCGGCGTTCATCTCTCCTGGTGCCGGTCAAGTCCTCTTTGAACAAGAAATATCTGGAACGTTTTTGGAATTGGGTCAAGTTCAACAATGCCTGGGTCAAAGAAGTGACAGAGCGTCTTGGTTGCAAACAGGAAAGTAAGTCATGGTGACTTGTCTGTTACTTGTAACAATGTGTCTGATGTTAAGCATGACATGGTTGATGTTACTGTTTCGCCGTTCAGGGATAATAGGAACATCAAACTCCCTAAATTTGAACCACGGTGTTTCGATGGAAACCCGGCTGATTATTTACAATTTGTAAAGGAGTTTGAGATCATGCTGAGTGGTTTTTTATTAAATGATGAAATGTATTTGATGAGGTATTGCACTGGAGATGCTTCAAGAGCTATACAGTGTTATAAGATTATGAAGCCAAAAGAGGGCTACGATGAGGCTATGAGCATATTACGTCAAAGGTTTGGAAGACATTCAATGATTGTAAGGAACGTATACGAAGCTTTCAAAGGTAACGGTAGTCAGCTTCAAGATGACTCCAAGGCACTTACTGAGTTTTTAGATAATATTATGACTTACAAGAATACCTTGATTTCGATGAATTGCGTGAGTGACCTCAACTCGAGTTTTATCCTAGAAGTAATAGCGAGACGCCTACATACTCGAATGCAAAAGAAGTGGGTGAAGATAAGCTCCCGTATGGAGGATGAGGGTATCGAGCCAAAATTTGATGATATCCTGAAACTAGTAAAAGATAGTGTCAATCAATCGATGAGCAAGTTTGCCAGTATATTGAATCTCACCCCTAGAATAGAACAGTCTGAGGGTAAAACGCAATCATTGATGACGAAATAGCCTCAGAGAGGTGGATATCGAGAAGGCTCCGTGATGTCTAGTAATGCATATAGACCTAGTGAGTGTAACAGGTTTCGTAGTACATCCTCAACAGATAAGTTGCAAGATGCAAGACAAACACGGTTGTGTTTTACACGTTTGCAAGAGGTGCATACAAAGGTGAACTGTGAACCAGTGAGCAAGTTCAGTGATAATCTCAATGTAAACTCCAGGCCTGACTCCGAATTGTGTGACGACAACGGTGCGGTGAAGAAGTCTGTAGTTGAAACTGGTAAGCCATTGTTGAATAGAGTGTCACAGAATAGAGTTATTGCTTCAGAGTGCACTTCTGACTCCACAAGTTTACAAAGTATTACTATTCAGAGTGAAGTTATAGAACCTTTAAGGATTTGTGAGGAGGAACCAAAATTGTCTACTTCTGTTATTAAAGAGTTTGAAAATGATGAAGTCGACCAGATAGATGATGGTAAATTTAATATTTGTGATAATGATCATGATAGTGCAGATTTGTCTTTGGTCGATCATGATGAGATGAGGGATATGCCTACTACTGCTAAGTAGAACAAAGTTTCTGTACAACTACAACGTGAAGTAGGAATAAATGCAGATGCAGCTGCAGAAGACATGCATACTTGTGAGACCGTCAGTGTAAGTGACCAGCATGTAGCCCACCTATCATCAGATGCTAGTGCTAAGCCTGAGCTGATAGTAAAAGACAGCAGTGGTAGTAACCTTGCAGTTAGAGAATTTTCTGAAAGCCGAACAACAACAGCTTCTGATCCACCGCTAACTTCATCAACTGGTATCAATCAGTCGTCGTTGGTGTTGTCATCCACGATGAAAAAGACGCCCATCAACTCAAGTATCTTGTGCAATGACTATGATAGTATTGGTGCAATTGAAAAGACGAAAGATATTGCTCAGTTTAATGAGAATAAGCCAAGTGTAAACGAGAGGGTAATTGTTAAATCGACTTGCACGAATAAAGGCATTTCTAGTTTCAAGTTACTATTCGAATGCTATTATCTTTGATGTAAATTACTCTGTGCCTACGCTTGGTTGACCAGATACTTCGTGTGTTTGTTAGTCATCTATATTCTACGATACAATGACATGAGCGTGTTACCGTTCAGATTTAATAATAATAATAATAGTATATTCTCATTTTGTACATGAGAGACGCCAGTTTACAGGCATCATCAATATGATAAATTACATATACGATTAGCAATCATAATTAATAATAATGTTTTAATAAAATACATATTTTTTGCTACTTGTGTACGACACACCAAATATACAGGCATGGATAAGCATTATATAAATTTCATAAATTTGGTTTATAGTTAATTTACATGGTTGCTGACGTTTCTGTCTTTGGTTTGTGGGAACAATATGATAACCAGTCATTCAATGGAGCACATCATGAAATATAGGAATATTGACTTCGCATTAACAAAAAAACCCAAGTAAGTTTTAGATGGATTAAAAATACTTGGGAAAAAATAAAGCTTGAAGTTATTCCACAATATAACCAGTCATTTAATGGAGCACATCATGAAATATAGGAGTATTGACTTCGCATTAACAAAAAAACCCAAGTAAGTTTTAGAAGGATTAAAAATACTTGGGAAAAAATAAAGCTTGAAGTAATTCCGAATCTCATTTTTGATTTATATCCAAATTGGGAAATAAGAAAGAATCGTGACGTTGTATTACAAATTGATACCTTTCCATTGGTATAAGAGTATATTCCACAAATGTAATCCGGGTTGCGTCGCGGGGAAAGTTAATTCGTTATTAACCAGGCAACTGAAAGATACGGGACCAATAATGTTCGCAGATCATTTGTCATTGTAAATGGTCAAACATCCACATTATTCATTCTCATTCAAAAAGTCAAATGGAAGCTGAAATGGTGAGAGAAAAAAGAAGACAAACAACAGCAAGGCAAAAGAAAGCAAGAGGAGTCCTTAAGGAGTGATTAATAAATATATACATATATATTCTGTCTAGTAACTATGCTTATTTTTGTTCATTAACTAACTAGTCCCGTTATGCTAACTTTCAAATTATGTGTGAACTAATGTTACTGTCCTGTGTAGAAATGTTTATCATCTAGTTCCAATAATATTAAAATTAATAATTGTAGTTGGTTGTAACTACACGTTTAAAGAACTTAAAATATCTATGTAGGGTGAAAAAGAGGGTGTAAGAGTCAGGCGCAAAAGTGCATTGTCATCTTTGAGCAGTCTGGTGACTGAGGAGATGAACACTGGAAGTGTGTTTGCATCGCGCACATTAGCTGGTAGTCTATTCCAAATGACTGAAAACTTATTTAAGAAGAAGTTGTACCGCACGTAAGTCTGACAGTGCTCTATAGCAATTAGGTTGTGATGATTTCTAAGATTGTAACTGGTGACAGTGTTAGGTTTAGTTATTGGTTCGGAGGAATGCAAGAGAAGATTAGTTAGCTTATAGTAAAAGATAAGGTTTAACTTAAGACGTCTTTTCCAGAGGGGTTCTAACCTTAGTCTTTCGCATCGCTCATGGTATTGCAGACCACTTTCTAAACCAAGAGTTCTTGAGGTAAACTGCCGTTGCACTCCCTCTAATTTAAGCTTATCATTTTGTCTGAGTCCGCTAAGAATAAACGGGCAGTATTCTAAGATAGGTCGGACACATACTTTGTATAATAAAACCCTAGTTTCACAATAAAAGAAATTGCGTGTTATGCAACCTATCAGCCTTCGTGCTTTACGTCTGGCATAATCAGTCTGTTCAGCGAACGTTAGGTTACTAGAGTATCTAATACCGAGATCTACGACTGAGTTGAGCTTAGCTAGTTTTCGCCCATTTATTTCAAGAGTTAGATCAAGCTTACTGTTGCCGATACAAATCCAGCCGCATTTGTCAATGTTAAAGTTTAGAGAGGATTCAGCACACCATGTTGCGAGACTACTTAGTTCAAGATGTATTTTAGTAACCATATCGCTTAATTCATGAGTGTAGCAGGAGTAGACGACTTTGAGGTCGTCAGCATATAGGAATGGTTTACCTGAGGTGAAGCACTTGCAAATGCTGTTAATGTAGACTGTGAATAAAAGTGGACCTAGGACACTACCTTGCACAACCCCACTTGAGATCTGCCTAGGATGAGACAATACAGATCCAACTTTGGTTATTTGTACCCTGTTGCTAAGAAATGATTTTAACCAGTTCAGTAATGGGTTGCGAATTCCACAAGAGTACAGCTTCTCAAAGAGAATACTGTGAGATACCATGTCAAATGCCCTAGATATATCGAAGTAGAGAACAACGACTAGCTTACGTGCTTCGCGACTACTAGTGATGCAGTTGAAAAAGTCGAAGTGGCAAGTAACGCAGGATCTATTTTTGAGAAATCCGTGTTGAGACCTTGTAACAAGATCTTCCCTAATTAGGTAGTCTGACAATTGATCTTTTACAACTTTCTCCATGATTCGTGAGATAACTGGGGTTATATTTATGGGTCTGTAATTGCGGACGTTTGCCTTATCACCAGATTTGTAATGTGGAATTATGAAGCTAGTTTTCCACTCACTAGGGTAAGTGCCAGTGTCCATAGATATTGAGAAGAATTTAAGAAGTAACAAGGGTATATCACACCCACTGTTTTTGAAAATTATCGAAGCGAGGCCATCCGGTCCCGTACTAGTGGAAGGTTTAAGGCTTTTAATTGCTTGTACTATTAACTGATTAGTGAACACAATGCTTTCAAGGGAAGAGCTAGTAACGGGGGCTATTTCACCAGGCATATGTGTTTCTAAACTAAAGTTTGCAAACCAATCACTGAAGAGTTCACAGATAGTGGCAGGCTCATTGTAGATTACTTTGTCGTGAAGTAAGTAAGGGATTTCCCTCGTCAACTGCATTCGTTTTTTAAGAAGTGCCGTTAAGTTATAAACTTTGGAGGTACTTTCAAGTGCCGTTAACTCTTCGTCGAGGTCCTTTTGAGAGCGTAGGCGCTTGATAGATTCAAGAGACTCGTGGATTGAGAGCAGTAGTGATATATCCTTAGTGGAATAGTACTGTTTCTTCAGCTTCCTTAACTTATTACGGTGTGCCCTTGGAATATATTCAGCTCGGTGTCTACTTAATTTCACTATTTTCTTTGGAGCAACTGTATCTAGACAAAGGGTAACATTCCTGTAAAACAGGGTTACTACGGCCTCCAGGGACTCAGTGGTAAAATAGTCATCCCATTGACAGAGTCGAATAAGTTCTTGGACTAATCCCCAGTCTGTATATTTGTAACTACGACATATTGTGCTTCCTGAATCTTGTTTGCTTCCTATATTTAGTGGTGAGAAAGGCAGAGAGCAGAGTACCATTCTATGGTCACTACTGGAAAATCTATTACCAACATAGTGGAGACTGGGATTGTGTCATGACAAAAAACAAGGTCCAACATGTTGTCACCACGAGTTGGTGTCTGGACGTGTTGTTGCCATCCATAACAGTCGATAGTGGCAAGTAATTCGTCGAAGCGTTGGGGGCCAGAACTAGTTAGCCAATTGATTTCTGGAAGATTGAAGTCCCCTGCAATTATTTTGTAATTAGCACTAAACGAGGAGGCGTGTGCAAAGGACTTAGCTAATAACGCATCAGTTTCTTTTGTTGAGCTTGGTGCTCGATAAACACAGCCTATGAGAAGTTTGTACTTATCTCCATGTAAGACAACCCAGAGTGAGTCAGGTACCTCGTTCAGTATTTCATCTTCCACCTTACTGACTACAAATGAGTTATGTATATATATGAGACATCCTCCACCACGCTTGCAATCTCTGTTTGCACGGTGTACAGTGTAATCATCGATACCTATATGCACATCTAGTACAGAGGATGAGCACCATGACTCAGTAATCAGAGCTACAGTAGGCTTGGCGACTAATAATAATGTCCTTAGTTCAGATATCTTATTGATTAAGGAACGTGCATTAATTAGCAATATCGTGAATAAGTCACGGGATACTACAAACTGGCTTAAAATGTCACCATAACCTAAATCTATTTGTGCGCCAGCACCGCAAGAGTTTATGAATGAAATGGAGGTCGGACTGGGTGTCTGTACATCGGGTTGGTGTGCAATGAGGTGGTTCTAGGTGCCATGGGTCGTACCAGTGATTCGGGACACCTGGAAAATTTACCATGTGTTCCTGGATATAAGGGTAGTAGGGGTTGGGCCTAGGTTGACGGTTAAAAGCCATAGCATCAAAGGTCTACCCATCCAACTGCTATTCGGCATATTGGTACACACCTTCGGGTTGTTTTTATAACTTAAAAGGAATTGTGAGGGAAGGTGCTTTGGCTGCAAGACTTTAGGGGTCTTGGGGCCTGACTTTCTATAAGGTGGAGCATGCGGAACACCTCCAGAATACTTGTGTTTCGAGAGGAGTTTTTCGTAACAAGTGATGGTTTGTTGGCATTCTTACTCTCAGCAGGCTTATTGAATACAAAGTATTCTTCCCCATCATTAGTCTCAACCCTGCGAAATTTGTTCATCGTGGTGAGGTTACTACGTTTGGGGGAAAATTTATTAGAACAACTTGCAGAAGTTCTAGTCATTTTAACATCTTTCGATGAGGCTTTATTTACAGGGGTACTGGTATCTAAATCAGTTCCTAGTTCCATTGGCAGGTGTGGTTGTTGTGTAGTTTGCTGAATGCTAGTTTCAGCACTAGGTGTCTGTTGCTGTGCACGATCCTTATTTGGTAAATCAAAGCTAGAGGAGGTGACCAGGTTATTACTACGCATTATTCTGCGCTGACACGGTGTTTTATCCTGAGCTACGGTTATAGACTTATAACTGCTATTCAGTCTTAAGTGATCCTGACATTTAGTAAACTTACTAGCATCAAGGGAATTACTGAATTTAAAAATGATTGGGCAATTAGACTGGTTAGACTTTTTACGAAGTCGTTTGCATTCACATGGAACACTAGCCATGCCGCAACAAATCAGGATTTTGTGTCTTACAGTTTTCAGGGGCAGAGAATCCGGGACGTTGTAAACTATAGCTTGGTGAGAAGAGGTTATACGCTTCATCACCTCCGTAGCCAAGCAGTCAATCAGATTTTCAGCTTTATTTAGGTTGTCTGGAGATATTATAGGATGCCTTTCTAAAAGACAGGCAATTGGGTCTAAATTCAAAAGCTTATTTTGAGTTACATCCAGTAAACACTTAACCTGACCAATATCAGACCGGTTCTCGGTGGTATTTGAGATTGGCAGTGACATACTATCAAACTGATCTAATTTTTTCTGAATTTCACTTACTTGCCTCTGCATATCTCTCAAAAGGAGGTTTAATTTACAGAACTCAGAGTTCTCTAACAGAACATCTTTCACGTGTATCACAGGAGTGACATCTGCACTCAAACCATTTTGAGAGCTAGTAGTTGATACTGTATTACCAGGCGGTAATGCAGTTATAACCGAATTTAGGCCACTATCTAAAACAACTGTGTTTCTACGAACACGTTTTTTAGAGATTTGGACCATAATTTCAAGAATTATATGACAATAAGCAGTAAATAAATTTCAGAGCAAACACGTGCAAAAATGTCACCAATTTCGAACGTACCGCCAAGGATTAGATGATATAAAGGATATAGATGATAGAAATAGTCAGCAAATGAACTCTGCAACGATTTTCCAACCTAGAGCGTCAACCTGAGAAGGGTTGTAGGCGTACGGCTGTAAGTCCTACAATTCTTCAAAGGGTAGCGCATCAGTGAGCAGTCCAATGTGCTTGGTGTGTGATTTTGTGCATATGTTCATATTGTATATACTGAATTGATATCATATGTCATCTAGCTGTTGGTAATTCTATTTGTGTCCGGACATTCCACAACTTACAATCGTCAACCTGAGAAGGGTTGCAGGCGTACTGGTGTAAGTCCTGCGATTCTTCAAAGGAATTCCATCAAGATATGATCCGCGAGTTTGTGTGTACTGTTTGTATATATGTGTGGTGTGTCATATCAATTGGTGTTTTTGGATTCATTGTGTTTACTCGTTGTTTTCGTACCTTGTTTTTATTGCATAATTTTGTTAAAATTTTCGTCGTGATTACTTCTGGAGTTGTTTCGAGTCTTCTACATCCGTGAATGAATTGATTGATGTTAGAGACAGCAGATGGGTCGTATACACCGGGGAGGCTAGGCTATTGCTGAGAATGAAATGCATACGGAGATAATGATTAGCTGCGGTCCCACACGCCGGGGAGAAAGAGTGTAAACGACTGAGGCTCGCATACGCCACCGTTACTAGAATTGAGGCAGAATGAGTGACAAGCGATTTCAGTGGTAATTGGTAGTTATTTCGTGTTAAACATATGAGTGTACATGTTAAGCCTATTTTGCTATCGACTGTAAATTTTGACTGAATAATATGGTCCTATTTCTTTTAGAATTTGATGATACCTGTAAACTGGAGTCCTTCATGTACTGTACCATGAGAATCAATCTATTTATTTATTTATATGATATAAACATTTCTCTGATTTCAAAATAACACAACAATGAACTATAATTCAAGGATTCTGTTCACAACAAAATTATGTACGAAAACGGGCGTTGATAAAGCATATCCCCTGTTTGAAGTGGCGCCTTTGGCTTAACCTTGACGGCATTTGCGCGGTTTCGTTGATTCGAGTTGTGGCTAGTCGTCCAGCAAACGTAGTAGACGCTATTTCGCTGCTTATTTTGCGCTTGTTGGATGAATTTATATGAAAATTATTGTTCGATATTGTTCTTGAGCATTTGCTGATTGCTTGTGTGACAGGACGCTTAAATACATGGTTCATGCAGTGATTTTTGGCATACCGAGTAAGCTTCGCGTACATTTCAACGACTGTCATTCGATAAATTTCTTTGCAGATTGGCGGAAACTTGTACTCGATCTCAAATTTCCCTATCAGCTATTGTGCAGTACCTATTACTGCTGCAGGAACCAAAGAATATGGTTGATATCGAATTCCTGCATCCTCCCGCACTTCTGTGTGTTGTTTTGATAGAGGAAAGTCAATAGAATGCATAGATACAAGCGAAAATTAGTGTTCACAAATGGGCAGAAATTGCAATATGTTTTACGATCACTTATAACATTCACTGTTTTCTGCCGAAGTTTTTAAGTGAGTTAAATGCACACTGCAACATTTTAGTAATTTGGTGGATTTCAATACCATCCTCGTGATCAGGTACGTAAAGACATCTGACGTGTGCGTCACTTTTTCCTACTAGTGAGTTTGGTTTCATAAACTTCCGATTTTTGTCATTGTCCTGACGCCACATTCGCGCTTGTTCGAAGTTAATTCACCAAATTATTTTAAAACCACGTAGAAGTAGTGTCCGACATCTCTTAAAGCTATGGACGTAAGGTTTAGAAGTGGTTGCTATATCCATTTAGGGAAGGCTCATCGATTTTTGCAAGTAAGGGCTACGCATCATATTCCTAAATGCCTCCAGAAGCAACAGAATCTTCAGAAGTTATTAATGGGGTCCCAGCTCCTCTATTTCGAAACATATTATAGGGACAGGTCATAAAACTGGCGTTTGCACATTCTTTAAACCTATCTGTAAAACGTGTTTGGATTGCATTCTAAAGTTTGTGGGAACCGAAGTGTGATTAGGAAGTTTAAACCACTTTTGTGAATTCCAAGACTATTCGTCATCACACGAAACCTTTGTTAAACTTTGTTTTGAAACTAGTCAGGGTAGATGTACTAGTCCCTCAGATATTTGGTTTAGTAATCTTCATTGTTATTTTGACCTTCAATATGTGGTTTTAATTCCACCTAAATTTATTTTCCAAACTTTTAACTGTATTAATTTCATATGTATTCCTATAACAAGTCCATGCGTGACCAGATTGTCTAAAATGTGTTGCACAAATACAACACTACACGACTCGGACAAATTACGTCTTCTCATTACTTCGTCTAAATATCCACTTGTGTCAAAAATAGTGACTGATGTAATCGCACATTGATATAAACTTTCATTAATTTTTACTGTGCTGTCTCGTTAATATTATATTGGTAGTTATATTCATGTATGCACCCTGTGAACCCTTGTTTTCTTTTTTAGATAATCTGTAGTTCCAGTGACCTCGTGGGATTCATTGCTGAAGGAAGTGGTTTCCAGTACCGTTGATTTTGTATTTTGTGTCGAATCACTAATAAATGTATTCTCTATACCTCAAATAGACATTCTACTTGTTAATAGTCACTACTAACTTCATAGAATGTTGTGAGCTACAGAGTTATGGGGTTAGGGTCATGTGTTGTATTGAGTAGCGCGTTTAGAAAATACGTCCGCCCCTGAGGAATATTGTCGTCAATATGGAGTACATTCTCGTGATAAATCTGTTAGCAGTAATTATTATCAGTACCTATATTTCGTATGGATGGTACATAATGAAACGTACTAATTCAGTAGTCAAAGGTTAGAACTATCCGTTAAAATTGAAACAGGTGCTCATGTAAGGGAAAACTGATTAATCGGAATTTGAAACATCACGTAAGTGATAAAGTTTATAGCATCGTTTACATGCGAATAGTTAAGGTTATTTTTTTAGAAATGATGTTTACTCGTTGATGGTTTAAGGGATGTTGTGTTTGATAGGAAATAGATGGGACATTGTAACTGAAAAACAGTGTAACTGGATAAGCAACATCAGCTGGCCAGTATACACTTATTTTGAAGTAAAACACGATCGGGTAAAGTATTTCAAAGACAGGAGTAGAGCAGTCTTCTGAAACTATTAATTTATTGGGCAATTAAATTTGTCTTTGAATTAAGACTGAAAGTAAGCGGCATATTGGTAGGCTAAACGATAATCATTATTCGATTTCGTTAGAATAAGTATCCGAGTACTGTTTCACTCATCATTCTGTCTTTTGAATAACTTAGTAACATGGCGTTTACTTTCGGATCCAAATTACTAAGTAAAGGTTAATATCCCTAAGATTAAATTGTCGCCAAAGTAAGTAAATCTGTTCATATCTAGAAAATACTAAGGTTTGGAGTTATTTTTTTGCTACCACAACACCAGGTGACTCACCAATTAGTCACATCGTAAAACTAGATCTGTCAAAGACAGTCTACTTCTGAGTTCTAGTTTTATCATGAAGGATGAACCATACCCATAGGTTAATAGGATCAGACGGATGATGTCAATTCGAAACTAGGTATCTACGTTTCGCAGCTACAGAAAACACCACGTTACAATCTATTCCTTTAATCGTGTCAATCAATGTGACATCAATTGAGACTAGAGAAGGAACACCACTGGTTTTCACAAAATTTATTTGTGTTCGTTAATATAATGTACATTCCGTAATTATAGGCAAACTAGGAAACGCACCAAGTCATCACATATACGAACAATAATTAAGCGCACAGGGTAGAGTAGATTTAAAGGAATGCCTACTCGATATGGCCCAGAGTTCATGTGGAGTAACACATGCCTACATCTGAAAGTGCGTGTGTAAGGTATCGCATTTCATCAGCCTTTCGTGTAAGTGACTCAATGGGTCGCCTCCATATTTAACAAATGCTCAGTCCATGAATTCTACTTGTACCTGTAAAACACAAACAATACCCTGCTGGGATATGGTGCTGTGTTACACCAGAGTCCCTCAGTTTACAGATAAATCACACCTAATATCAGTATTACCGCTTTTAGTTGAAAAAGTCATTCGACTGTGTCACAAATGCTTTTGGCTGGATTCCTCAGTGCCAAGTATTATTCCTTATGAGAGTGCATTGAAGAAACCCTGTAGGGTGATATTGAAGCTTCGCCGAAAATTGAATAGAAGCATTCCACTCATACAAGATGGATGCAGTAAAGAATACATTATTAACTCATTGCGCTCACTCCTACATTACCCTATAAAATTCTCTAGTTTTGAAATGAAACATGCACATATATATTGTGTCGTTTACTTCAGATACACACTAATATCTAAATTTCATACGCCTTCTGTCTCAATACTCCATGTAATAACAGTTTGATAGCTATTTACGAATGCAGTAATAAGTATTTCATGGGCCACGAGTAGCACTTGGTATTCAGCAGAGGTATGGGCACTTAGTGATTGTAATTTAGAGAACTGATACGACAAGGTTAGCTTTTTTCTAATATATACGCAACTATCAACACAATGAAAAGATAATGACGAATTGTTATCACAAGCATTCTATTTACTATGGAGGGAATGTTATTACAAACTAGCTTCACAGTAACATGTACAAGTCTTGCATGTCATTGCATCAGTAATATTAGCACACTAATTGTATTACGGCCAAATGTAAATGATTTAAAGGCATCGTAACAATAACTTTGCGGGAGGTAGATGTATTGAAAGACTGCTTGCAGACACTATGCATGACGACATCTGGTAGAATGTCTACGGAGACTGACAACCTGCAATGAGGAAGACAAAAATGAAACAATTAGGAGACACATAACGCACAAGATAAGTATTTTTGATATAAGCATAAAACTTGGGCACTGTGGTAGAGTATAACTCCATTATGGATACGATTTTATTTTGGTAAATCACACAGTGTTGGAGAGCAATATTACTT